TTAAGTCCTTTGCAAATTCTATCGGGCGAAGGATTTTTCTGGCTATGATTTACGTATTCCAATTTCACTTATCAGGACACATGTTAGCTAGCTAGCCTAACTTTCTGATTAGAGGTAGGTGCCCATGAAGGCACAGCTAGTTCTTGTTACATAGTTTCTCTATATATATTGCAATCTTACTATTTAAGTCTAGCCCTCTGACCAAATGTATTGGGCGATAAGAAGATTTCTTTGCAGAGATTTATGCTCATAGAAACTATGTATAGTGAAGTACATATATATACATAGTTTCCACCTATCTTACCTCTAGCAATCAGACTGAAAAATAATCTTTTTTAGACGGACCTGTCTTACTCTAAATCTCTTAGAACGGGAGTACATGTCTGTTCATATTAGACAGATTAAGGTTTAGACCTAGAGATTTATTTAGATATAACAGCTGACAGATTATAACATTTTGCAACATTAATTTGTGTCTAGCTGTTATTATCTTTGAAGTGTCCAATTATGGATATATAGTTATAACATACTTAACACTAATTTAGTCTTTCTTCTATTAATTCCGATTACCTATCTGTCTAATTTTAATTTTTATTATATTTTTTTCACTCATCTTACATTTCCCCTGTGGGAAACTGAGGTTTCTTCAACATTAATTTAATTGTTTCCTTTTTTCATTTTTTTCATTATATTATTTTTCTTTTTCATTATCTCTTTATGGATTTATTATTAAAAGGTATGTTTTAAATACACATACAAATATATCTCTTTAGGGCAGTGCCTTTCTTTCTCTCATTGCATTTTATTCCACTTAGGGTTAACCCCTTCACTGCCCTATCCACCCACGCTTCCATTGTTTTCGGTTTCTAATAACACATTTATTGTGCCCCGAGGCACTGACGATGGACGTTTAAATAATCAAGAATTACGTACGTCAGTGCCATCTTAAAGGGCCAGTAATAAAAGCACAAAATTCCTGACAATGGAATAAACAATTTATCTTGAGGTTTTTTGCAAAGTACCTGGGGCTGAGCCGCCATGATAGCATGGAGCAAAGGAGATGATAAAGAAAGGACAGTGGATGCAATAATACACTTAGGAGAAATAATAGGGGATATCGCTTGTTCTAGATCTGATTCAACGTCAAATTGCCTAGACAAGCCGTTAGCTTTAACGTTCTTCTAACCGGGTCTGTAGGTGATAATGAAGTTAAAGCGAGAAAAAAAAAAAAGACCATCTAACTTGTCTAGAAGACAGTCGTTTGGCATCCCCAATATATGCCATGTTCTTGTGATCAGTAATAATCAGAATAGGATCCTTAAAACCCTCCAAAAGATGTCGCCATTCCTTGAGCGCTAGTATGATGGCTAAGAGTTCTCTATTACCAATGTCATAGTTATGCTTGGCAGGAGACAACTTTCTGGAGAAGTAACCACAAGGATGCAAAGAATAGCCCTGACCCCTGTCTCTGAGATGTCAAACCTTTGATGAATCTCCTATAATAATTATAGAAACCAATAAACCTTTGGATGGCTTTTAACCCATTGGGTAACAGCCAGTGTAGAATGGCCTCTAGTTTGCGAGGATCCATTTGGAAACCAGAGGCAGAAATATTATACCCCAAAAACTGAACCTCATACTGATCAAATATGCATTTCTCAAGTTTACAATAAAGTCCATTATCAAGCAATGTTTGTAATACTTGTTTGACATGTTCATGATGAGTCTGGAGGTTTGGGGAATAAATAAGGATATAATCTGGGTAAACGAGAACAAATGAATAGATATAGTCCCTCAGTACATGGTTAATAAAATCCTGAAGGGGAATGGGATAGGCATTCTTTATAGTAATCTTTTTTAATTCCCTGTAGTCAGTGCAAAGACGTATTGCATCTTTTTTAGCTACAAAAAGAATCCTGCTCCAGTAGGTGAGGATGATTTATGTATATGGCCTAACCTCAATACTGTACAGGAATTTCGGAGCAGCGGTTAAAGCAACAATGCCCACTTTTTTAGTAATGTGAAACATGCAGATTTCCTGACAGTCTTTACCCCATTCCAGTATTAACCATTTAGTCCAGTCAATATGAGGGGACAAGAAGGGGAAGCGATTATCTGGAAGAAAATGTCTTCCTTATGTAAAGCTACTATTGTAACGCAAATAGGCAAGGTCTCATGAGTAATCAATGGTTGAGAAAGGGGTCTGCCATCAATAGCCTCAACCGCTAGAGGTAATGATCTCTCCTTGACTGGTATAGTGTCTTTCTTAACAAAATATAAATCAATAAAGTTACCAGCCGCACTTGAGTCAACCAGGGCTTTGCATGAAAAGTTCTTCTCATTGCAAAACGCGGAAATGTCAAGGAGAAATCTGCTTTGGGAATTGCTTGAGGACGTATCCATTACACCTAAGACCTTTTCCCCTTAAGGTTCTTAGGTGCAGAAGTTTTCCAGACGTATAGGACAAGAATCTCTCATGTGTCCTTTTTTTACCACAATATAAGCAAAGACCCTCTTTTCTCCTATACTGTTTTTCTGCGTGAGACAGTCCAGTAACTCCTAACTTCATAGGTTCGGGTTCAGACAGCGTCGGAAGGCCAGACACAACAGGTTTGGAGAATCGAGGTGCTAGTGACATAGTCAAACGTCTAAGTAATTTCACCCCTTAGGTTGGTCTTTGGCAGCAATTTTCATCAAGAATATTCTCAGATAATCCTTTTTTAAAAGCAGCAATTAATCCGTTATTACTCCAGTCTACCTCTGATGCCAAACAACAAAATTCTATGGCATATCTGAGATAAACCGGTTCCCTTGTTTGATATGCAGTGGAGGCATCTTCCTCCCTGCCTAACGGTTCAAATGTCAGTTTTAATTCCGTAAGAAATTCCTGGTAACAATGAGTGATAGTCAAAATACTTGCTGAGGTCAGGAACACAGAATCAGACACAACGATGAGGGAAAGCCAAAAGTCAAGGATGATAGAATTCAAGGAAATCAAAACGAAGCCAAAGTCAAATACCAGAAAATCAAGATCAGGAACGCACTCTCGGATTACCATCAGGCTTAAACCACGACAGGACAATGAACAAAAAGAGGAAGAATTGGGTTTAAATACCCCTCCTGTGGATCCGATTGGCAATGACTGGTATTTGACCCCAAAAGCACTTACCAGGTTTCCATGTGCATGATTGCTGCTCAGTACCAACCCTCCTGTGGATCTGATTGGCTATGACCAACCTTTGACCCCAAAAGCAATTACCATGTGCATGACTTTTCCTGTCAGGACGGTAATGCTGCTCGGCACAACTTTTCCTGTCAGGACGGTAAATGCCATTAACCACATTTTTATGTGCGGACGAATACATGACATTAACTCATACAGCGTCAGAAGTTATGATTGGGGGAATCAGTATTTCATTTATTGGGACAGGCTAAGATCTGATAATGGAGAGATACTTTTACCTTACTCATTTCCATAAATGAACGGATTATCCAAGATTCTCGATTGATGCTAACTTAGAGACAATTACAAACATCAAACAAAATGTAACTTTTATTTGCTTACCCCCTTAAGGACCAAGGACGATTCAGGACCGTCATTGGCATTTTCCCATTGCCGACCGCTGACGGTCCTGAACCATCCTGAACCTAACGGTCTGAGTTACTTACTTATCGGTGTTGCTCCTGGTGTGGGGAGACTGCCTGCAGCCCAGACAGTCTCCCCACACTGGATTAGAACCAGACATTACATGGTCACAATAGGTGTCCATGTGTCTGCCTGCAGGGGGACTGCCTGTGCTGACATGCAGTCTCCCTGCATGTGTATAATAAAAAATAAAAATAAAGTTAGTGTTAATTAAAAATTAAAAAAATTATATATGTGTATATATATATATACATATATATATATATATATATATATGATATATATACATATATTATATCTATATAATATATGTTTATATATATATATAAAATGTCATACTAAGTGTATTTTTATATTAATATGTACATATATTAATATAAAAATACACTTATAATTAAATTACACACGTATATATATATAATATATATAATAACTATATATATTGTATATATATATATTATAAAATATAAATAATTTAAATTAAATTAACATTTTTTAAAATAATAATAAAAATTTTAAAAAATATATATATCTATATGAAATTTTATTCTAACTGTATTTTAAAATTAATATATATATATATATATATATATATGTAAATCAAAATACACTTAGAATGAATTTGTATATATATCTATGTATATATAAATAAATAAAAATAATACGAAATATACATATGTCCATATACAAAATTACATAAATAATTATATAAATATACACGTAGACTTCAAATATATAGATATGCATATATATTTAAATTCTACGTCCGTATTTATGTAATATTTTTACATAATTAAGTAATTTTATTGATTGCAATTTGAGGGACCTTCCTGCCGAAAGTCCAGAGAATTTAATTTGCTAGCACTGTATTTTACCCTGTAACGTTCTACGACACCCTAAAACCTGTACATGGGGGGTACTGTTTTACTCGGGAGACTTCGCTGAACACAAATATTAGTGATTGAAAACAGTAAAACATATCACAGCGATGATATTGTCAGTGAAAGTGACTTTTTTTGCATTTTTCACACAAAAACTGCACTTTTACTGATGATATAATTGTTGTGATACATTTTCCAGTTTTTAAACACTAATATTTGTGTTCAGCGATGTCTCCCGAGTAAAACAGTACCCCCCATGTACAGGATTTATAGCATTTTTGAAAGTTACAGGGTCAAATATATGGGTCAAATATTTTTACATTGAAAATGGCCAGGTTGGTTACATTGCCTTTGAGAGCTTATGGTAGCCCAGGAATGAGAAGTATCCCCATGATGGCATACCATTTGCAAAAGAAGACAACCCAAGGTATTGCAAATGGGGTATGTCCAGTCTTTTTTAGTAACCACTTAGTCACAAACACTGGCCAAAATTAGCGTTCAATTTAGTTTTTTTACTTTTTCCACACACAAACAAATATGAATGCTTACTTTGGCCAGTGTTTTCAACTAAGTGGCTGCTAAAAAAGACTGGACATACCCCATATTGAATACCCTGGGTTGTCTACTTTAAAAAAAATATGTACATGTGGGGTGTTATTCAGAGATTTATGACAGATAATAGTGTTACAATGTCACTACTGATAAATTTTAAAAATGTATGTTTTGAAACCGCCATATCCTACTTGTACCTATAGCCCTATAACATGCAAAAAAAAGCAAAAATGCATGTAAACACTGGGTATTTTTAAACTCAGGACAAAATTTTGAATCTATTTAGCAGTTTTTTTCATTCGCTTTTGTAGATGAGTAAAAGATTTTTCAAGTAAAAGTCAAAAACCATGTATTTTTTTCAATTTTTCGTCATATGTTTTTATTTTATTTTTTAAATAAAATACATGAGATTATATAAATAATGGTATGTAAAGAAAGCCCCTTTTGTCCTGAAAAAAACAATGTATAATTTGTATGGGAACAGTAAATGAGAGAGCAGAAAATTACAGCCAAACACAAACACCACAAAAGTGTAAAAATATGCCTGGTCGCAAATGTACAACATCGCAAAAACAGTCCAGTCCTTAAGGGGTTACAAAATAAAGACTCAACGTTTTCAGTCTGACACAGCAGACTTTCATCTGATGAAAGTCTGCTGTGTCAGACTGAAATGTAGATTTTTTATTTTCTAACCAAATAAAAGTTAAATGTTACTTTAAAGAAGCCCTGGGAGTGCTATCTTGCTATCTTATCATACTCTGTATATATGTATATATACATACACACATAGTCATGGGAAAAAGAAAGTATAATATATCTATATATCTCGTCATCTTTTAAACTTTTATCAATAAATGTTGGACTTTTAAAATCTGTTAGTGCAGCTACCTATTTGGAAGAATATATATATATATATATATAATATAATCTTCCAAATAGGTAGCTGCACTAACAGTTTTTAATATATAATCTTCCAAATAGGTAGCTGCACTAACAGATTTTAATATATAATCTTCCAAATAGGTAGCTACACTAACAGATTTTAAAAGTCCAAAATGTATTGATAAATGTTTAAAAGATGACGATTAACGTTTCAGTCCTCCATAGAAGACTTTCATCAGGATCAAAAATTTCTGGTCCTGATGAAAGTCCTCTATGGAGCACTGAAACGTTGATCGTCTTCTTTTAAACATTTATCAATAAATTTTGGACTTTTAACATCCGTGAGTGCAGCTACCTATTTGGAAGATTGGATAATACAGCCGTGGTTTGCTAGCACCCGGTTATAAAGGGACACTAAAGCGTGAGTGCAAGAGCATTATTTTATTTATATATATATATATATATATATATATATATATATATATACACACATACACACATACATATATACACACACACATATATACATACATACACACACATATATATATATATATATATATATATTCGATAAGACAACAAGTCTAATAACATGCAGTTCAAAATAAAAAAATCTCTTCATTTCAGTTTTGTTTCAACTTTATATACTTAAAAGGTAAGATTAAATTATTTCATGGTGAGTAGGAAGTGATCTGCAATCCTGGTATTTCTCGAACCTGTTGGAATGCAATTACCATATTAGTGATAGAGAACTTCAAGCTATAATTTTAGTGCTCAAAGAATAGAGGCACCTTCTTGAGTATACTTCAGTGCCAATTCTCCTTCTCACAGACCACAAGAATCTTACATATCTTTCCGAAGCTACATGGCTTTCCCCTTGGCACGCTATCATCCTATCAAGATTCAATTATGTGGTTTCTTATTTGGCTGGTACTAAAAACATCTCTCTAGGGAGGAGATAACTCCTACTCCTGTGATTCCTCTGGACCGTTTACTAGCCACCAGAGGTCAAGTCCTGGGGAAAAAAGTGTGGTAACTCACCCAAGATCCACGCCCCCCCCCCCAAAAGAAAATCACACGGTTGTTTGCATATATATTTCAGAATTGTGTGAGACAGGAGCATTAGCGGGGGGAGATAGAGGTAGTTTTGGGGAATAGAGGCAGTCATTATGGGGGATAGTGGCTTTAGAGTGGGGGAATAGGGGCAGTCTTGTGGGGGATTGGGGCTTTATTTTGATGGGGATGATGGGGACAGGAGCTGTATTGTGGCTGATTGATTCTTTAGTGTGGTGGAATAGGGGCAATGTTTCTGGGGATTGGGGCATTAGTGAGGAGATGGGAACAGTATTGTGGAGGATTGGGGCTCAGTGGGGGTAGAGGCAGTATTGTGTGAGACTTGGGTTGTGGTGGGGGTGGATAGAAACAGTATTGGGACAGAGGCAGTGTTGTGAGGGGCTAGGTACAGTATTATGGGGCAGGGGAAGTATTGTGGGGGGATAAGGACAGTATTGGGAAGCAGGGGCAGTATTTTGGATATTTAGGGAGTATTGGGGGTCAAGGGCAGCATTGTGGGGGGATAGGGACTGTATTATGGGGCAGGAGAAGTGTTGTGGGCAAGATAGGGACAGTATTTGGGGTCAGGACATGATTGTGGGGGGATAGGGACAGTATTGGGGGGCAGGTGCAGTGTTTTGGATCGTTAGGGAGCATTGTGGGAGAGAAAGGAACAATATTGGGGGAAGTGGGGCTTAGAGAAAACACACACACTCCACCCAGTCTCCCTATCTTCTGAAGAACTGTGATGGATCCTGGGGTCCAGTGGACTGACACTACGCTTTTCTAAAGAACCTCCACTTTACATCCACTCTTTTCCTGTATAACTCCCTCACACGTCCTGTACGGGTCCTGGGAGCCTTAATTTGACGTCACATGTTGGCTCCCAGGCACTACTGCGGGGCACACAAGGACACTATACAGGAAGAGAGCAGATGTAGAGCGGAGCTCCTTCGCTTTCCCCCCTGTTCCAGTGCCGGTTCATCCACAGGTGGGGCGAGTAGCGAACATGTGGCAGTGGATGAAGTACAACCTAATGCTGCATCAGAAAAATAGAAGCCCTAGTCATAGAAGAAATATAAATAATAATCCTTCCAAATAATTACCTCCAATAGATTATAACAATATAGTTTATTGCATATAACAAACACAATAAAAACAAATAAATTGGCTACTATGTATCACTAAGTTACCAATAATAACATCTGTTAGAAAAGTATCAAAAAGCAGTGAAAGTAGCATCCAATGGCGCTATATATAACAACATGAAGCACTGTAAAAAAAGCAGCAGTTAGCTCCTTAGAGACAGATCAATGTAGTAAACCTTGTAAGATAACTGTCCACCTTAAAACTGAATGGACTGGAACTGGTGATATCCGCAAGTGTAGTGAAGCCTAGATGAAGAATACTCCTGAATAAGTTCTGTCCAAAGGGAGCTGTAATAGGGGACGTTTCCATGTGTCTTACTCAAACCCGTGTTTCAATAATGCGTGCTTTTGGATATAGCTGTCTGCTATCTCAAGCTAAATGTAAAGTAACCACTGCAGTAAAAATTCTCTGGTAACTGTAAATAACATTTCCAAAAGCTGAAGGCTGATAAACAAAATAGTTTATTGACACATTTCGTCCTGGGCAAGTACTTTATCAAAATCAATGCTTTTAAGTCGAGCAAGCCTGTTTAAATAGCCTGCCGATAATCTTAAAGGGACCCAGGCATTAAAATTAGCTGGTATTGATAGCCTGCATTCAGCAAAAGATATTCATTGAAATGAAAGTTGAGTTCTAGTTTTTTGGAATAAAAACATGGAAATTATCATATGAAATAATTAATGCCATAAAAAATACAACTAAATAACAGGATAAATAAATTTTTAATGTGATTTGCTTGATAGTCTATCATGAGCAATTAATAACAACAAAAAAAATAATGGTAACAGCATTAAATAAAAATCAGTCAATGAAAAAAAATCATTTGTTAGATTATAAAGCATGAAAATCCAACTCTTTATTGAAACACTTAGGACTCAATGTCTCTAATTGAAAAAATAATTTGGTTTCAATAGCTAATAATGTTCTCATGCTTTTGTCTTGACATCTAAATTCATTACTCATCTCAATAGCCGTAATACTTCCATTTTGAGGAATATTCATTGTGAGGAATACATATTGCTTTATGCTGTCTGTCGATACCAGCGAGATTATCAGCATTTTATAGGATAAATGATTGGTTATATACATTTCATGCAGTAGAGAGATGCTTGCAATTTCTTTAGCAATCACCTGCTGCCTTAAGAGCGCATGGCCCCTCATATAAAAGAGAAAAATCAACTCTTTTAAATGAGGAGTGCGTGTATAAGTGCTATGTTGTCTTTATGACAATCTGTCCTTTCAAACAAGGGCTATACAGTTTCTCTAGGTTAGGGTGCATAAATCAGCCTTCAAAAGGGAATACTTAAAGGGATACTTCATTATTGAAGTGGTCACACTGTCTGTATCACTTCATTATTGAAGTGGTCACACTGTCTGTAGTCCTCTGGCTCCATCCTTCCATTTGGTGCTAAACCATTTTTAATGGTTTAGAGTCACAACAAGAGACCACATGAGCCCATTTTTGCTTTGCAGCTTAGGGTAATGAGGAGGATTGGCTAGGAGAGTCAGCTGACTGCTTTCAGTATATCAAAAATATGCATAGTTAGAAGTGTGTAATCTCTGCCTTAGTTATACCTCCAGTGAGGGCCAAACTGTAGGTGCCAGGAATCCTAATTCAATGATAAATTGCTTGAAACAGTGTAACCCTAAACGGAGGGACAGTGCTAGGGGACTGCAAGTACTATGAATAATTCAATAAGATTAAATTTATTAAAGATGCCCCAAGAATGTGCCTTTAAAATGGACACAACAAATGTATACTATGCTCAATTCAAGCATGGTATTCTGAAATAAGCAATCCTTTATGTGAATCCTAAAGAACCAGATACATATCGTGAATCTCGTTCCATTTATCGTCCAATATACTTCTGAAAATTTATGTAATTTGTAGGTAATTGAAGAAAGCATTCAAACCAAATTTACAAGCATGAAGGAGAGAACCAGATGATCAATACAAAAATGCTTCTTTGATAAATCTTATTGTAGATGTATAAAACAGACCCAGGAAGTGATTAAATATTAATCTCTGGCAGTAGGAATTTTTTTTCAGAAAATATGCC